CTGACCTCCTGGGCGGTTGACGTCATGTCCCCTGGAAGCGGTGACCCCCCCGGCGGAAGTGACGTCATCCCCGGCGGCCGCATCCCCGGCGGAAGTGACGTCTCCCCCTCCGGAGGTGACGTCAAAGTTTTGCGCGGGAATGGCGCGTTTCTCGGCGGGAACCCGTCCCATCCTCCGGCCTGGTACTCCACCCGGCGCTCCCGCTCCCCCCAGCGTGAGCTCGTCGAGGATGGAGGCAGCGGCATGGAGGAGATCGGCCAGCCGGGCATGGGCTGACTGGATCGCCCATCCCGATGTCGGCGGACTCCTGGAGGGCCCCGGAGAACCCGAGCCCGCCCCCGCAGACCCGTCCCCCGGAAATGGCGCTCCCGCCTCCGGCTCAGCGTCTCCCTCGACGTCCTTCTCCTGGCCCCTGGTGAGCGTTTTCTGTCTTGTCTCCATGTCGGCGAGGTTCTTTGGCCGCTTCTAACACCAATTGTAGTATTCTTGAATGAGACCGACACTTCGTAGAGGCCACACGCTTTTATTCCGATAACACTAGTCCTCAGGACTCACTGGGGAAACAGTCCCACACACACAACCTAGGGAGGTACAGCCTCCGGCTCTATTCTCATTTCTCTCCTTCCCTAGCCTCCAGCTACTCTGTTACTCTCTTCCCTAGCCTACAGCTACTCAGCTACTCTCTTCCCTAGCCTACAGCTACTCAGCCCACTCAGTTCCAGCGGGGCGGCATCCTTGAGGCTTGGGGGTCCAGGATCTCCGGCTCTCCTCCTTCAGCTTCTCCTCCGATCGACCCCTCCGCTCTCCGGGAGCCGTCTTCTATATCCCCTCTCTCTGAGGGGCGGGGGTGTCTCGGGCCCTGGCTCTCGCCAGCCCCCTCCCCTCAGAGCCGTTCCAACCACCTCTCGTCCCTGTCAATCCGGGCCGATCCAGACCGGTACGTACCTCTCCCCTAGCTTGTGTGACCTGTGTGACCTGTGTCAACCTTGGTGTCAACCTTGACCACCACACACGCATACGCATTTTTACACACACACAAACGCTCAATCCCAGTAGGATGCTCGGACTCCTTACATCTCGTGAAGGATTGCCCTACTGAAGAAGCTAGTTCCTTGGTTCAGTTCACAAGTGCGAGTTAGCGGTTGCACGTCGGATGATTACAAAAGCTCTTGAACCCTTAAAGCATCTCAGTCCCTGTTTGCTGTGGTCCTCTTGTTCTGCATATTGTCACCACCCCATGGCATAAGCAATTCTGGTGAAATTACATGCAATTCCATCCGAAAAATGCTTCTGAGGTGTGAGTTGATCTCTGCTAACCATATTATTATCCTAATGTTATAGATGTAGGAGGGCTGTCACATTATGGAAGTGGAGCTTATCTCCCTAAAATAATAACTCAGCGGGAATAGGAACCTGTGTAGGACCCAACCTATAGCTGTATTATGTCACCAGAAGCCTCCTGATTTAAAGTTGATTGTCATACGACAAACACTTTTTTCACGGAGTATGATGGGTTGGCATATAAAATGCATATTTAAGTAATGCACACATTAGTCATGAAACATCACCTTCTGGGGCTGTTTTCTGACACACGGTGATTACTGTAAGAGTTATAACTGGTAAAATGTTCATAATGCGCATAGCTCAAGTTGAATATATTGAATAGAAAAACGGCAAAAAAAGGAAAAGTAGTCAGTTGAATTTCAAGTAGTCCCTAAAGCTCTCCAATGTTTACTCGATTGTGGTAATCTCTTTCATGTGCTTGATTGCCTCAGGCACTGGGTCCGTGTGCACGTGTATACAATAAATTGCTAAATATATAAATGCATCGTTAAACCTACCACAACCCGACACAGCCAACTAGTAAGTGTTGTCACATAAACAGAACATACCAATTCGTCACTAGTACAGCACACCGGTGTGTTGGATAGCCAAGCCTCAACATTTACAATCTGAGTACGACGTTTCACCAGTAATAACAACTAGCTTCATCAGCCGACAGCCAGATTTGTGGAGAAGTCCACCTGTTTCGTTTCCTTATGTAGAGGAGTAGATGTGGTGACCACACTTCTGCGCTCATGAGTCAAAGTACATGTGTAGTGGGTGGTATGGAGACAGTCTTCTTAGGAGGCAACACGTTTTTATTTAATAATAACGGTAACACACGAGGTCCCTAACACGAAGGGGTAACGGCTCCTTCCACCCGATGACCTAAGGGCTACCGTGCCCTAGTCACTGGGACCTCCTTATCTTAGCCCTCCGGCTAATGGGACCTATAGGAGGTTGACCCGAACCCAGCCAAGGTCCTCAGTCTCGACCACTGGCCCACTCAGATCCGGCCCTGATAAGGACTTCGGGTCAGGGGATCTTCAGAGTCCTATTCTTGAGGCGAGCTCTTCGGTCTTCGGCTTGACGCTGACTGCCAGAGCTGCTCAGGGGTCCGGCTTTTATGGGACTCCCAGGGTCACTCCACCCCTGGCCACGTCCAATCTCTGGAACCTTCTGGAGGAACCTAGATTGTTGCATAATCCCCCAGCCCCCACTGGGGGCCTGGGGGGTTCACCTCCAGTTCCCAACTGTCCTCCGGGTTGCCTGACCCAACAGTCCTACTTGGTACAGGACGGACCCGCTATTGCCCCCTTTTGGCCCGTAGCTGGACCTACATATAACCAGTAGTGGTGATGGCGTATTACACCTGACAATTACTCACCACACATGCATGCTCATTATACGCGCTGGATCTAACCTATACGGAATGGAGTCAGCTGCAAGCTGACGATGCTAGCCTGCTACCACTGTGCCACCGAGTGAAGGCTAGATTGTGCACATCAAACTCCCAAAAATGGTTGCACTTGGTGTTGCATGGCGGATTGTTGATGTGGTGGGATGTGATCCCTGAACGACGGTGCCTGGTGGACCCCACATCTGTGCGAGGCAAATTTACGCGGGAGATCCACGCAAATAAGTTACTGCACCTGGGGTGAATAAAAAACACTCTTAACCTTCAAGCAGGATTATTATTGGCCGTGAAAGTCTGCAGACGTTAACAACTTAGTCGCAGGGTGCACAGAGTGCGCACGCGGAAAACCACTACCGCATAGTTCACAGCCTCTCTTACAATCTATCGTTGTCTGCAGAGTCAATTAATTTGTCACGCTTGATAGTCTAGGGCCTTTTCCATGCTTTTTCAGGGGAAATATATTTATTCTGATAGGGATAGAGTATCTTACAAGGTGGCCAATGGCATGGCGGCTTCCCGACCAGACAGCAGCTTCAATTACTGATGCCTTCCTTCACAGGTACATGATGAACAAAGTACCTCCAGAGCAGCTCCTCACTAATCAGCATATTTTCTTCTAAACTCCTTTTCTTCTAAATTCCTTAAAGAATTATGCAAGGCACTGAGCACAAATAAAGTACGTACTTCCCCATACGACCCCCAAATGGATGGTATGGTCGAACAGTTGAACAGGACTCTGACATCAATGCTCTACCAGGTTGTTGAGACACAAACCGACTAAGTATATTCACATTCCGACTGGAATATTCACATTCCAGGGGTCTTGGCAGCTTACAGACTGGCGCCACATGCCTCCACGGGATTTCTCCCCTTCTAACTCATGTACGACAGGGAGAATGAAACTCCCATACAACACAGCTGGGTAATGCTCCAAAAGGCGTGTCAGGTCAGATAGTGTCCTTACAGGTCTTGCTGGACTGGCTACATGAAGTACGAACAGTGGCAATGGCAAACACCTCGAATGCCCAGGCCGCAAATGAACGACACAAAATGCCAGGGAATCACCAAAGAAAGTACGTACTTGGCAAGAAGGTATGGCTGCATTGTCCACAGGTCCCACTACATATCTCTGCTAAATTGCATCGACCATGGCAGGGCCCTGTGGAAATATTTGAAGTAAAGTGGCTGCAATGTGTACGTGTGAAATTGGAACGTCGCCGTTGGTACATTAACCCATTACGCCTAAAACATATTTCCATCATCACCTGAGCACCTCATCCCCATGCCCTGTTTCGCCGGAGTCTGGGGTGTCGACGGAGCCGCCGCAGCCGCCAGCAACACCATAATCACAAGTGAATCACCCTGTGCCACCCACAGGGCTGAGTGTGACCCAGGACGCATCGAAGCAAGACCCTGCAGCGGATGTCGGGTCGGTCACAAGATCCCAGGCAAAATTTGTACAAGATGGTGCTGACGATGGGCTGGTCGGCGCGGCAAACGATTGCAACCATTGTTCCCACAATCCTATTTTTGTTATTGTTCCTAATTGTGGGAGGTGCAATGTCTGCACTGATATAATTATCCCAAACACGCTGTAATTGCATTTGTTTATTGCCACACTGTCGACACAAATGTTGTATGATACCACTGTGTTCGGTATTAAATCCCCATGGACTCCTTGTGTTCTGAAGGAGGTCGGTCATTCCTCCCTTAAAGTTATCCGGGACGGCTTGGTTTTTTCAGGGGGGGAGGGAGCGATGTAATGATCTAAACATGGCCCTAAGCCAATATGCAGCCAAACGGCTATTTAAAAAAATAAAGGTCTCCGATTGGAAGAAAGAGGACTGAACGGTAATTGGTCGGGAGGCAGACTTTTAAAAGGATTGGAGTAATAAGGTTTGAACGAGAAATCGGAAAACAGAAAGTTTCCATTAGAGGGGAAGGCCAGGGATTGGCTAAAGGGAAAAACAAGGACAAGAAGGTTCGAGGAAGGGGTGCTGACGAATATATAAGGGGAGAGCACGAGGAATGGGGACGTTTGGAGGAAGTTACAAGCTGGAAGGCACGCATGAAGCCTAGGGTCCTTTATTGTGGCTGTGTCCAAATAAAAGTGTCTCTCTTTACCTCGTCGTCTGAGTTGTTACACAATTGATTACAAAGAGCAAGAGTATCCATTCAAACACATGTATAATATGGAACTTTATTTCAAAGATCAAGCAGATACCCCTTCCAATTCCATTAGTAACCCAATAATGTCCTTTTACAAGATTAAGCTTATATATAACTTCATTTCCTTTAAAAAAAATGCTAGGCATTCATAAAATAAATGTATATTACGATACTAAAAGGCAAATGTGGACATATATGTTTATTTCTATGCATGGCCAGGACTCCATCTTAAATATCGAGGTACCTTATTTCCTTTTAGTCTACAAAGATACGTAAAAGCTTAGAATAGAACATAATTAAAATATATTGTGACTGTTTCACCAATTTTATCCCGATTGTGGTATAGGCAGAGCAGTGCAACCCTTCATGTTAGAAAACAGCCCACCGGAGGGGATATCACAGACCTACATCTGGAGATCCCATCAAGTGACGTCTGGTCCACACACAATAGAGTACAGTAGAAACGTATTTTAAATGTTGACGTTGAAAATAACGTCATCGTTGACAATGTTAAGAAAAGTTATATTCAAAAACTCTTCAAATATAATAGTAACTGCAATACAATCAAGACAAGCAATGCATATTTAACATTTGATTTCATTTTCATATGTAATTTAAACAGCAGAATTATAGTATATTTCATAAGATTTTGAGTGGATTACTAAGCATTGTTTTGCTTCACTGAAGAACAATTAAACATGTATCAAACATAACTTTTAAAAATGGGTAAAACTTATTTTTTATTCATACTTAGCAATTATGTTAATGTGTGTTTTGCCATTAATTGAGGCTCCACTTTGAGTAAGCTATGAACACGACACACCTTCTGTCTGAGACACCGTCGGATCTCCGAGTCCCTTAGTCCATAAATAAAAGGACTAATAAATCTTGGACTGATAAACATACAAAAATACAAAAATGTTTTGATCGTATACTTCAAATCAGAGTTGTTCACGGTTAGGTCTATCAACGTGTTAAATGGTTGGATTCCAAAAGCACTCAGATATAATATTAACTGCAGTGCATGCAGCCTAAGAGTACGTTTGGCTTTGGTGGCCTGAGACTCACCGGAAGCAGCTTGCTTAGCTGCTTTTGCAACAAATATATATGTGCTTACAAGTATAATAATACTTACACAAAAAAATATCACAAGCAGTGATTGTCTTATATATGTAACATTATAGCTTTGTTCCAAAACATATTTTTCGTTTATATTATAACAAGAATCAATTGTTTGATGAAATACTGAGGCATAATTTGTGAACGTAAATATAATTTCTATAATAGGAAAAATGAACGAAACAAACCAAATCACACCCAGGCATCTGAGAGAAGATTTATGGTTAAAGATGCTGTGATAACGCAATGGGTTGCATATGGCAACATATCTCTCTATGGCCATAAAGGCGATGCAAGCGACCCCATTGTTAAACAATCCTCTATACAAACTTGCATAAAAGTAGCAGCCTCCAACGTTAAAGCTAATCCTAGATAAAAACATAATAGAGGGAATGTCAATGATAAATAAAAATATGCAATCACTAATTACCAGGTTTACAAAAAATATGTATTTAGGGTTTTCCCGTAATTTACTTTCGCCAAAAATTGTTAATATCATACAAACAAGAAATGCTGTACACGGTAGAATGCTAATGATGACAATAATATCAGAAAATGTATTATAAGTGTGTATAAATCCAAGTGTAGAGCTGTTATTTTCTTTTGAAACATTGACATCCGAAGAAATGGTTGACGTCATCATAGTTGCTGCAAACACAAAAATACACGTATTTTGTTTAATCCCTTCTCACACATATAGACGAATATGTAGTGTTGTCGACCCACTTTCAATGATTGTCTGGAAACGCATTTGTAGTCATTATATAGCTGTTCAATTTGTTAACCACACATATATTTAAACTCTTAGGTTTTTTCGGTTCAAATCTAGAATATATATTTAAAATCACCACACAGAAGAGCCAAAATGGCCTACATATTTTATTTTGAGTAAATCATACAATTACAAATTATTGAGGTCCACATTTAAAAAAAAAATATTTTAAATGTTAAATTCCTTGTTGTCATCATCAGCAGCAGCAGTCATAACCTACCCAATACTGGTAGACAGCCTCTCCGAGCCATCACCATTTCTCACAGATTCACAATGCAATAATCCATATACCTCTTGCACCAGAACTAATTTCATGACTAACTGCGCCGTATGGTCCCCCTGGACGTGTGGAGGTAGATTTTATCGTAATTACGGATGCATAAATATATTTATCTCTCCGGGAATCAGAGTTTTAGTTTCTGTATGGTGGGAGAAACAGCTTGGCGGATGGTGCGGTCAGAGTGTCCGTTCATCCTGAGGGCCCGATGTACATGTCTTAATTCACCGGCCAGGTGGTATTGGTCAGAAATGCCATGAGCTCTGTGGTATAGCGTTTTGATGAGAGAATTCTTTTGAAATGGGTGGTTGTGGGAATCCGGTTTCAAGTAGGAATCTGTGTGGGTGGCTTTCCTGTAGACAGAATGTCCCAAGGATCCGTCAGGTCTCCTCTCAAACAGAATATCTAAGAATGGTAGTTTGCCATCTTTCTCCACTTCCATCGTGAATCTGATGGATGGGTGTCTGGAATTGATGTGGTCCAAGAAGTGGTTTAATGCTGGGAGGCCATGTGGCCAAATGACGAAAGTGTCATCCACATACCTCTTCCACAGGGAAGGACGCAGGGTGGATGTCTGGATGGCGTCTGATTCAAACTTTTCCATGAACATGTTGGCTATCACTGGTGACAAGGGCGAGCCCATAGCGGTACCCTCATTCTGTTTGTAGAAGGTGCCATTCCAGGTAAAATAGGTGTTGGTGAAGCAATGCCTAATCTGCGCAGGTACATCAGAATTCAATCCATGTTGGACCAAGTCCTCAATTATTGTTAGGGTGTCCGGTACTGGGACTTTGGTAAACAGAGATACTACATCAAAACTGACGAGGATGTCATCAGGAGATAGTACCATGTCCTTAACCATAGAGACTAATTGGGTTGAGTTGAGTACTGCCGAAGAGGTCTTGCCTGTGAAGGGAAGCAGAGTATCTGATAGAAACCGGGCTAGTTTGTAGGTATGAGAGTTGATCGTCGACATGATGGGTCGTAGCGGGGAGGTCTTGCCGCCGATGGTTTTAGAGAGGGACGTTTGGTTGGTTCGATTAGGGAAGTCGAACTCGTGAGTAACATCCCAATTTCTGACAATCTAAAAACGGTACTGGCCAAAGGACTAAATTTCGCCGTCACCCCATTTTTATGATATCGGCATGTTCATTGACATGTTCATTGATTTTACCCGAAATTAACTCTGTCACTTATTTTTGCGAGTTGTTGCGAGTCGGTGACTGCTTTAGTGTTAAAATATGGTGCTGTATTTTTAGGATAGTGTGTTTATAATATCATTTTATGAGATATCCACATTTATTTAATATTTTTCATCGGCAGTTTTTATTGAAAATGCAATATTTGATATATCAAAAACCTGATGTGATAGACAAAAACTGATGCCAGATTTGGAATCAGCACCCCAAAATTACCTTAATCCCGTTGAAATACCTTATGCCAGAAAAGGTGTGTTGACCAGTGTTATCAGAGTTGTGTTTTTTGTTTGCATTCCGACCGCAGGTATTGTGGTCATTGCAAACATGACTCCTTGTAAAAAAGGTGTCAGTTTTGTTGCCAGATAAAAGGGTAAAAAGCCAATTATCATATTTTGCTACTGGCAAAGGAGGTTCCAATGGTGAGGGATGCTGAGCGTAATATCGAACACATAATCTAGATAACATGATTAATAAAATAATGATCCTTCAACAAACCTAGTAAGAATACATCTTGACTTGAAGCTTTCGTGACTGCAGGAATTCATATTCTTTGGGTCTTTCGGTAAAGTCACGTAGACAGAACAATAAAATAATACAAAATTAAAATAAACTGAATAAAAAAAAATAATAAATATCACGACGTTTCGATCACAACACAAGCAATCGTCATCAGGTGAAAAAAGAGGGGGGAAACTGCTGAGGCAGGCTGTTAGAAAGGTTTGAAATGGGTGTAGCCCAAGGGTCAGAAACGAAGTGGGCGAAGCTAGTGATGTTGAACTGAGAGAGATTAGCATGTTAATGTAAGAGATTAGGATGTCAATGTAAACGGCGGCTGTGTAAACGAAGTGGGCGGGGCTAGTGATGTTAAAGTGAAAGAGATTAGCATGTGCATGTAAGAGATTAGCATGTCAATACAAACCGTGGCTTTGTTAGTGTGAACCTGTTAATGTAAAATCAGAGAGTCGAAAATAACTGCTAACATCAGAAGGTAGGATGGAAACATCACAGCCAGTTATGACTTAAACTGGTTAATAACTTCCTTCCAATGATTGCTCAGTTTGTACCCATCTTCTCGGTTGAAATTGTGTCTGTGTCTTTATATCTGGATGGCTTCATGAACGATTTTTTTGTTAGCCAGTGGATTTGCAGAGTAACTTCGTCTTGGAGAAATCAATTTCGTGTGAGCCCACCGCATTAAAACAATGATTAGCCACTGCTGAGGTATTGGTCATACCATGTTTCAGATCTGCCTTATGTTCACGAACGTAGTCGCTTAGTTTCCCCAATGTAACTTACTGCAACAGGCACAGTTTAGTTTGTAGATGCCGTGTATGTCATGTCAGGGATCACATCCTTCACAGATGGAATCAGATAACGAATTTAATGTACTGTGTTAAATCGAACCTGGAACTTGTATTTGCTCATGATTTTGGAAATATTTTTAGTGACCCCTGCTATGTATGGCAAGGTGATGGTTTTGATTGGGTCCTCATATGGTTCTTTACCCATGGTTGGGGATACAGCTTTGCGGATTGTGCAGTCCAAATATCCATTCATCTTGAGGGCTTGGCGCACGTGCTACATTTCACTGGATAGGTGGTGCTGGTCGGAGATGCAATGGGCCCTATTGTGTAGTGTTTTGATGAGGAAATTCTTCTGGGCTGGATAGAGGTGGGAATCAGGCTTTAGATAGGAATCCGTGTAGCAGTTACATTGGGGAAATGAAACGACATGTCTCGGACCGTGTTCGCGAACACAAGGAAGATGTGCAACACGGCAGAACCAATACCTCTGACGTGGCTGATTACTGCTTGAACGCGGTGGGCTCACACGACATTGTTTTTTCCGAAACTAAGGTACTCTGCAAACCTTCGGGCTACCATCAAAAATTTGTTCATGAAGCCATCCAGATATATGAACACAGAGATAACTTCAACCGAGAAGATGCGTACAAATTGAGCAATCATTGGAAGGACGTTATTCACCAAGTAAAGCCTTAACTGGTTGTTGATGTTTCCATCCTACCTGCTATTGTCAGTCGTTTTTTACGACTCTCATTACCAAGTTAAATGATTTTACTTTAACGGGTTAAATGTCTCACTAACAAAGCCAACGTTGCCCCCTTTCGCTCGATGTGGCGGTGGCTCTCGCTTTTTAGCAGACTATAACATGGCTGTGATGTTGTTGTGTGTGTCTCTCTGTGTGTGTGTGTCCCTCAATTTGTGTTTGTCTCTCTCTCTCTATGTGTCTCCCTGTATGTCTCTCTCTCACATTGTCTCTTTGTGTGTTTGTGTGCCTCTCTCTCTCTCACTTTGTGTGTGTGTCTCTCTCTGGGTGTGTCCCTCTGTGTGTGTCTCCTGCCAGCGGGCGTTCGACACTTCACGTGGCCTCAAGGTGCACATGGCCTGGCACAAGCGTCGTAGTGATGTCACCACCACTTAGTGGCGAATGGCGGTTGTTGTTGTTGTTGTCTCTGTATGTGTCTCTCTCTGTGTGTCTCTCTGTGTGTGTCTCTCTAGGTGTGTCTATTTCTCTATGTGTCTCTCTGTGTGCTTCTCTCTCTCTGTGTTTCTGTGTGGTCTCTCTGTCTGTGTGTGTGTGTCTCCTGCTGTGCGCTCTATCCCCCTAGTGGCTGATATACCGTCATTACATTCGCCTTTCCTTCACCCTGTTCAAGCGCTGCCTTTCCTTCACCCTGTTCAGCACTGCCTTTCCGTCACCCTATTCAGTGCCCTATCCCCATTGTGGCTGATATACCGTTAATACACATTGACATGCTAACTCTCAGAATACAATGGCCACCTCCTCAGCACAAGCTCCAGCCCCCCACTCACTTGCCCGATGCAGCAACCCCCCTCCCCCATCTCCCGGCTCTATATATAAGGGCTTGTTTCAGCAGCCTGTTTCTCACTCCCACCTGAAGACAGTTGCTTGTGTGGCGATCGAAACGTCGTGATCTATTATTTCTTTTTTTACCTACGTGACTTTACAGAAAGAACCAAAGAGTATGGATTCCTGCTGTCACGAAAGCTTCAAATCAAGAAGATTACCATTCTTGGATGTTTTAATCGAAAAGAGACCAGATGGCTCAATGGGACACTGTCTACAGGAAAGCCACCCATACAGATGCCTACCTAAAACCTGACTCCCACCACCATCCATCCCATAAGAATTCCCTCATCACAACTCTATACCACAGAGCTCGTTGTATTTCCGACCATCACTACCTAGCCAGTGAACTGGAACACGTACACCAAGCCCTTGAGATGAATGAATATTCAGACTACACAATCCGTAAAGCTATCACCCCAACTGTTGGGAAAGAGCCATCTGAGGACCCAATCAAAACCATCACCTTGCCATACATAGCAGGAGTCACCAAAAATATTTCCAAAATTAT